CACAAGTCCTTCAGAAATCTGGAGCTGGCACCGATAGGAAGCATGCCCCGGGGGAGGGGTGGACACTCAAGCTCCCGGATCTCGGGTGAATAGGGATTTGGACCAGGAGAGGGTACCATCTTGTTGTGTGCAGTACACTGAGGCGGTGTGACACACAGGGCCCACTTATGCTACCAGAATCTGGGGGTACAGGGCCACAAGATACGCAAAGAAAGACTCCGGCGCTTTCTTTCTCCATCCCTGGTGCACTGTGGTGTGCAGGCTCTGATTCTGTGGAGAGATTTATAGAGTGTCTGGGCTCTAGAGAACATGGGGTACGGGGGCAGGGTATAGGTTGATGCCTAGGGAGCTTGGTAGCTCTGACCAAGCCTCACTGCCCACATTTATTCTGCTCTTCCCTCATTCGCTCACGAGAGCAGCCTTGAGAAGGACAGGACAATCCTTCTTCCATCCTTCAACTTCTTCCCTTTCCCACTGTGCACACTGTCCCAGGTGCTGGAAGGTCAGCAGTGATTATACATTCACAAAGTGGGGCCCGTAGCCTCGGTGAGGCTGTGTGAGTTGTTCAGGTGACTCGATGGGCCCAGTTTAGACTCTTCTAGATGCCCGTTCTCTTAATAAGCAGATGAGAGCAGCAACGTTCTCTCTGGGAGGATAGTTAAGTTAATTCATGTGAAATTCCTCTTCAAGCGGCTTTTCAAATGTTGATCAGTTTTTATTAGTATAATTGGGACTGGTTTACAGCTCTTTGGTCTTTTAAACCAATGCCCTTGTTTTGTTTGTTTGTTTTTAATTGTTTATTCATCTATCCATCTATGTGAGATGAAGTTTAGAATGTCTGTGAAGAATCTTGTGCTCTGTCAGGTATTGGAAATGGGAAGCTAAAATCGGCAACTTGGAGAGGGTGTCATGGGCCTATGCTTAAGAAGCATAGTGATGATGGTGGGTGTCACCCAAACAGGAGACTAACCCTAAGCAAAGCACATGGAGAGAGGGGCTCTGGTGTGGTTGCAGTGATAGAACTGGGGCCTTCGGGATTCATAATGCATTTCCTGACCTGGGGAATGTGGCCTACTGCTCACTTTTCCGTGGGACAGAATTAGTGCTTAGACGAGCAGGATGGCTCCTGCCTATAATCTAGCACTAGCTGAGGCAGGAAGTTCCCTCTAAGTTTGAAGCTAGTCCAGGATACATAATATGTTCTAGGTCAGCCTGGGCTACAGTATGAGGTCCTAGCTAAAAAACAAAACAGGAAGTAAATACAAATAAAACCAAATGGATAATTAAAATAAAAATTAAATGCCAGACCATGCGCTGCAGGCCTTCTGGGCCATGCGATTTTGATGGATACATTGAAATCCCAAATTGGGTTGGGCTCGTCTAATTTACTTTGTAATAACGACTCAAATAAAAAAAGAAAGAAAATCCCATTACAAGCAACAACAACTGAATTCTAGTTGTCTAATTTTCCAACTGAAGCCAGAGGGTAAAACTCCCAAGTTAGAACCTATGGCTCCCTGTGGTACATTTAGCTATGATTAATCACTGTAAAATTTATGAGCCAGGGTCCTGTCACAGCTAGTCGAACAAACTTTCCATCATACTTATGGCCTGGAAACACAGCTCCAGATTCGACCTCAAAGCCACCTTGAGCCGATGCTGCCCTGGTGCTGTGGGGGTCCAGACTGGGCAAGGGGATCCGCAGCCTAACTGTTCTGAGCCTTGGGGATGCTAGCTTCTACGCCTCAATGGCCTTTCTGTAGAGAAGCAAAATAGAGCTTTGTATACTTACACAGTCCTGTGAGCTGGCCTCCTGCTCTCTGAGAGCCTGTAGCCCCTAAGCAGCCAACACATGCCCTGTCAAGCATCTTGTAGCTTGTGCAACTGAACATAGATATTGTGGTGTTCTGGGTGTTGGCTAGAGACATCAAGGCAGTGTCTCTGGTGAACTGGCTGTGGGTCTGGCTACTTTTCTCACTGCTGTGACCCAAATCCCTGACACAGGCCACTTAAGGTGTGTTTACAGCTCACAGTTGATGACCTCCATCAGGGCAGGGAAGGCATGGAAGCAGAATGAGGCCCTTTGCACCCGCAGTCGGGAAGCAAGGGGAGATGAATGCTGGTGTTCTTTCTCCCTTTCATTCGTTAGGGAATCCAGTACATGGGATAGGACTGCCCACATTCAGGTGGGATTTTCCTCTTCAATTAAATCATTCTAGAAACATCCTCCTAGACACATCCAGAGATACATAGTTCCATGCTGATTCTGAATCCCGTCAAGTTGATGATGAAGCTATGGGAGACAGATAATGTGTGCTTTTAAGTCTCGTCTAATAAACATACATGTAAGGAATATTTCTTGGGTGACTTCCCTGTTCCCTGTGCTAGACTTCTTGTTCATTTGCTACTATATTCTGATCGGTATGGGTTATAATAGATAAGTAGGTATGCAGATAGAAAACTCAGATATAGAGAGATAGATACTCTATTCTGATCAATATGGGTTATAACAGATAAATAAGTATGCATATAGACAACTCAGATAGAAGATAGATGATAGATAGATAAAGGATAGATATAGATGATACATGTATTATGTACGTGCATACATGGGTAATGGTTAATACTGACTGTCAACTTGACATAGGAGATAATCTCTGGGCGTGTCTATGAGGGAGTTACTACTTTATATTAACTGATGTGGGAAGACCCGTCCTAACTGTGGGTAGCACCATCCCATGGTCCAGGATTCAGGAATGAATAAAAAGGGAAAATCAACTACAAACCCGTGTTCATCTCTCTGGTTCCTACTGCAGATGCAGTATACCCGGCTGCCCCACAGACCTCCTACCCCGACTTCCTGTAAATGGACTGTGTCCTCAAACTTAAAGTCAAAACTAAACCCTCCTTCCTTCAGTAGTTTCCTTATTGAAGTATCTCTGAGGTCATCCTGGCTAGAGTCTTGCATTCAGCCCCCAGAGTGGGGCTACAAGAACCCAGAGGCGGAAGGGAGTTTCATCTAGGACCATATGGAGGCCATATTACAAGACAATGAAGTAATCCAAAATGGTACCGCTGCATATAAACGTTAGGAGATGTGCAAAGAAAATAGAAAAAGGAAGGCCATTAGACAGTGTAAAACTGTTGACAAAAATAAAACAAGCCAGGCTCTGCAAGCTGTTAGTTGGGCAGAAGGGCATGAGTGTGCTTGCTGGCTCCCCTTCAGAATGCAAAATAAATTAGAGACTATTCTAATTGTGAGCACTTTCCAAAGCCCTTGGTGTTGTTCCCTTGTGAATTCCCAAGGTGTGCCACTGGGTCCCTCTTATTGAATTCTTTCTTCACGGTCTCAGTTCGCCCCCCCCCCCCACCACCAAAAAGAAAAAAAA